CCAACAAAAGTTGTGGGTTTTTTTTGTGTGGTTTTTTTTTTTTTTTTCACTGGTTGAACATCAAAGTGGTGCAGAAAATTGGATTACAGATTTCTGGATTCCCTGATCTCATGACTCATCTGCTGGACTGCCTGAATCTCTCTGCTCAAGTCATTTAATTTTCTTTTCACTCAGCCCTCTCATTCAGTTGGATAATTTCTACACCACAACCTGACCACAGGTAGCTGTTCCCTTTCTGTATCTGTGCCTCTGGCAATACTTTATCCCAATATAATGGTCACCTCACGGGAGTCTGGAGTGCTTGGAAACCATGCTGAGCCCTTTGAATATTACAAGAGTAGTAGTTTGACTTTCAGTGTTTTTTGGCAAAAACCAGGTCTCCCAAGGTATATTTTTCTGCATCCTGCCAGGAAACAACTGGCCAACATGTAACAAAAAAAAATCACAACTAGAGCTGACACAAAAGGTCACTAAATCAGTTTGGGTTTCTCGGATTCAGTAACAATAATGTCATCTCTATGTCAAGAAAAATAACTTCCTGAGAAGTCTAGCCAAGAAGAGAAACAGCTGTCTTCATCTTGCCTGCTCTTTGTGAAATAACTTGTTAAAGGATCCCCAGGTTTTACTGAGGGATCGCTTTAGAAAGAAGTTGGGATAGGCTTGGAAATTGCCGTGGTGAGGAAGGAGGGAGCTACCACTCCCAGATGGAAGGAAAAAGGAAACCTGAAGCACATTGATGCTGAAGCCAAGAACCTATAAACTCCTTGTAATCCTAACTGGGCAAGAAGACATACAACACGCAAAAATGCCCCATTTCTAAGGGCATTCCGCAAAAATGCCCCATTTCTAAGGTCATTCCTGCACAGGCATCCTTCTCAACGCTCTTCACAAGCACTACCGAAAGTGTGCATACCAACAGTATCTTTCACCTCATCTCTATACCTTTGGTGTGGTTTTTTTTTTTCTGAGGAGCTGTGGACAGCTGGGAGGAGCGACATCCTCCATATGCAGAGCTTGTTACCTTGAGACTGCCAGACTGCAGTCTTGGCTACACACAGGACTGCATATGTTTGGCTAAACCTGTTTCGAACAATTTAATTCACAGTCATGAAGGCTGTGTGATGCTTTTATTCTGATTTGACTGTGCTTTTATCACATTTAAGTAAGCTAATCAGGAACCAGGTGAAGTTGCACTGACGTTGCGCATTCCCATATCAAAATTAGTATCTACCCCCTGTAGGATTTAAGCAAGCTGGATGCCATGATATATAATGTCATTGTATAAACCTCAATTTACCTCTCTCTGAGTTGTATGCTGATTTTGTTGCTACTTTACAGATATAGCAATGCTTATAGAGCGTTTTATTTTTTTAATGCCAAGAAAGCCTCAGTGAACTGAACGTAAGTGAATCCGGTCCAGATCAGGAAGGACCAAACACTGTTATTTGGTAAGGAGCAGTAGTCGCTAAGTAGGTGTAAAATTGATGGGTGGATTTATTCTATTGCCCTTTGCACATGTGCCCATCACTACACCCCTCTGGTCTGGCACTCCTCCCAGCCACCTCAATAAGAAGAACCAGGACTGGCTGAGGGTGTGACATACCCACTTATTTCCAGAGGCAAGCCCTTAGGGGATGTGTTTGTGGGTTGACTGGGGAAAGCTTGCAAAATCCAGGGCCATTTTCTGAATTGGAGAGGACAGAAGCCTCCAGCATGACTAAACAAGCCTCTTTCAAACAGATCCCTTTAAAAAAAGCTGTGGAGAAGAAGCAGTCTCACCCCTGGGATTTGTAAGGGTAGCGTCAGTGCCTTTGCCTCCATCTCCGCAGCGGGTATCATCGAATGGGAGGCACTGATCCCCAGTTCCAGCCAAGACCTCAGAATTCTTCACAATGTCTTTCACTGATGTGGTTGACTTGATTTTATAGATACGTCGGCTGTTGGTGTCGGAGAGGTAGATGGAGCCGGTGATTGGATCTGTGGTCAAGTAATACTTATGAGCTGGGCTGTGGCTGAAAAACAAGGGTATGACGTTATTATTTTTGGATTATTAGTTTCCTTAAGTCAACAGGCAATGCAAGCACTTTAGAGAATAAAAATGCACAGGGCAGACAGAGTGGGAAAGTGAAGCAGTGCTGTATTTGACAATGTTAGTACACAATGTGTTATAGCACAGGATCCGGAGCTGTATCTGTTACCAATTGCTGTGCCTGGGGTACTCTCTGGCATGGAGGGAAGCTAACAAAAGAAAAGGCTCGCTGGCCTGAAACAAAATCATGCCATGGAATATGGCTGAGTACCAGTGCCTGAGTTTGCTTAATTTACTTAATATAGATACAGTCCCGAACCTGGTTTAGTGCAGTGCCAGAAAGTGAGGGGAAAGCATAGTACACTAGGGGCAGAAAACAAAGGAAAAAAAAAAAATTCTGCCCTCCCAAGGGCAGAATACAAAACCCCAAAAGCAGGCTCCCAAGTATAAAGCACTTGAAGATATACTCTTCAAGATCACTGCATCAAGGCTCATCTGGTGCTCTTGCTGACTCCAGCAAAGACTCTGTAGTCCTGTCCTGCCCTCATGGAGATGAGGGGAAGTCCTGCCACTGAATTCCGCAGGACCTCAGTGAAAAAAGAGAAACAAAATGGTCCATGGAGTGCCCCATTTTGCCCCAAGTAAAACATGAACTAGGAGGAGGGTTGAGGAGTCTGATCATCAGTCACTGCTTCCTTGAAAAGAAGAAAGGGTGGCTGAGAAAATGGGATGAGCAGATAGAAGGATAATGTTTTTAGCTCCAACTACAACACTAAATGAGCCCAAGACTGCAGAAATGAATAAAATAGCATCCACTTTATGGAAAACATTCAATGGGACTAGCCAGAAAAAACAACCAGATGAGTTCCAACACAATTTAAAAAGTTGTCTTTCAAGGATTTTATCTATAGTTTAACATAGATACTAAACATTTTATTAAAATTTAGTGTTTACTAGTAGTGCGTATTGAGCTGCATCTCTTCTAAGCCTGAAAGCAACAGATTAAACTTGTAGCACCTGCTGCCTGAACACAGGTCTCCTTCCTTCTAAGAAAGGCTAAGTAGCAATTAGAACAAGTATGAAAAAGTCTCTACTTTTCTCCAGAACACCTTCAAGCTGTCCAAACTCATCAGGTCCCAAGAATTCATAATAAATGTATAGGCCATAGTTCACAATTTTGCACTTAGTAGAATTGTTCCAGGAGAAGCTTGTTAGAAACCTAAGTGACGATCACAGTTGACTCTGTCCCTCATAATAAGAAATTTCCTCTCTCCTTGAACCTTTAAGTTAGGAAAATTAACCCTTCTTCAGACACATAAAAGCTACTGAATTATTCTCTGCTTTAAAAAGCTGTAAATTGGTTCTTCATTCAAATTACTTAATACTATGGAAAAAAAAAAAAAGGCTTTCTGATTTATTCTGGAATATCCCTTGTGATTTATCCTATTAAAGTCTGAACAGATTTCTTCTCAACAAATGACACTGATTCTTGCTAAATAAAATGCTCTGACCTTCAAGACAGCTCCAGCCTGACAGTTCAGTCTCCATCTGTATTCCTTTCCAACGACAGCAGGCTGGTAAGGTATTATTTCATTTACCTGCATGTCACTCACACTAAGCAAGTGGCTTCAACCCTGGTGGAAGGAGCTCCCTATGGGAATCCATCATCCATTTTGATCAGGGCCTTGTATTTTCCGCTGACTGTCCTAACAAAGCCCAGCTGAATGTCAGTCAGCTTTTCAGCTGCTCATAATCTCTGTTTTGCATGAGAGGTGGACAAGAGGAGGACATCTTTTATGGCACTTAGCAATTCTTAGGCATCTTTGCCTGGAAAGCACACATAGCTTTCACTGAGTCTTACAGCAGGCCATTTGCAGATGGACAAAGGCAAACGACTTTCCCAAAGATGGAGAAAAATGGTGGCAGAACTGGAAGTTCCCGCTCCCCTCTCCCAGAACTATCATTGTAATTTATTCTTGGATTTCATAGCCTCACTCTGGTGGAGTTCATTATTGATTACAACTTTCTGTGGAGGAGAGAGATCTTAAAACTATTTTCTAATCCCAGCTCCTGTCTAGAATGGGCACTGAAACAAATGCTGGTTACTTTTAACCATGGATCAGAGAACCAGGTAAAAGCAAAACATTCATCCACCAGAAAAACCAAATGGTACTTCCCACCTAAATTTACTAAGTAAAAAACTGTCATATTAAGGTAATACTTTGAGTAGCTGCTGGTAACCCAAGTTTAGTTTTATTAACGATGTCCTGAATATAGATGCCACAAAAAAGTAGGGGTGTTCAAAGTTCACAATCATTAAAAAATTAGCTCTGACTGGTTAAACTTTTAATCCTCTGCATAGCTGGATACCACAGAGGCACACACACCTTTACTAGCAAATGTGCTTTGGTAAAGGTAGAAACTTATGGTTGTTAAACTACCCACGGGATGGTAATAATCTTGGGTCACTTGAAATCTTGGGTCACTTGGGTCTGGTTTTCACCTGGTGAGCTGATAGTGAAGCTTCTAAGATGTACAATTACCTTTCTAAATCTAATATTATTAATGGTATGGGCACTTCCAACACAAACTATATCTTTTCTGCTGCGTGGCTCTGTGTGAGCGATAGGAAGCATTGGTTCATTTTTATGGACTGCATTTCTTATTTTTGCAAGCGTGGTTTATCATGGTCTCCTACACCCTGCTCCATGGATAGGGCTTTTGTGGGTGGAAGGTCCCCTGGGATGGCTCAGGCAGTGGAGTATTTAACCTGGGATGCTTTGGAGCACGGAACGTAAAATGCAAACTGCTAAAAATGGTCAAGCTGGAAATTACCCCCTTTGCCTCTGCCAACAGTTTTCACCACTGTACTGGAAAGGTGTCACGTCCTGCCCTTGCATGAATTGCATAGCATTATACACTGGAGCTTTTGTTTGACACTTTGAGATCCTTCAGGATGAGAGATGCTAAATAAACATATGTTAGTAATGTATAAGTTCCCAAACTGCTTCCCTTCATCTGTGATAATGCGTGAGCACTGGAGCCAGGAACACTGGGGCTTTGCTTTTTATTTAAAGCCACAATCAATAGGCAAATCCAAGTGGCAAATTGGACTGAACTGAACAACAACTGAAAGAAATCTGCCTGGGGCGAAGCAGAGATTTCTTTTTTTCCTTTCATCCTGTCTCATTGCTTAGTTAGATAACAGACTGAAACAAAAGACAGGACTTTTTACTATTCAGAAGACTTAATCAGTTACAGTATTTGTAGTCTTAGAATATTTATCCCCCATATTGACACTGCCACCACTAGAAAAGGGCTGTGGGTAAAGAGCTGATTTCCCATACAGATCATTCCTTTGGCTATTAAGGTTTTTTAGAAGAAACCTCGAGCACTGCATTGATATTTTAAGTCCTTGGAGCAACAAACCAAAGTTGCAGGGACGGGGTGGGCTGGTCCCCAGCCAAGAACAGATCCTTTAGTGGGTATTAGTGGGCATGATGATGCAGTCACTGGGAAGGGGGACAGTTTCATAAGCAGAAGTTCTGCAGGCCAAAATGAAATGGAGGTGATATTGCTGCTTTGTACGCTTGTGATACGGTGTTGTGCTGGGAAAGCACAGGGAAATCTTCCAAGTTCACAGCGATCCCAGTTGTTTGGGGTTGTTTATAGGTTCTCCCATACACCTGCCTTGTCTCTTGCCTTTTTTCATTCTCATTATTTGGACAGGATAGTGCCAGCACCATTTGGGGAGCTCTGCAGATATGTTAAGAGAGTCAAACTCCATTTCAAAGTGCTTACACTTTATGTGACTCCTTACACACAGGCAGGAGGAAGGAAAGTGATAAAAAGTTGGGTGAAATGGCAGACAGGTGGCACTCATGTGGTTTGCTTCTGTAGTACTATAATAGATGCACAGGCTTTAAGCAAAGGTTGATGTTATCCCCTTGGGCTCAGAGCCCATGGTTTGGAGGAGTCTGAGGAAGGAACCTCCTGCTCCAGAGTGGGAAGCCAGTCCCTAAGAATAAAGATGAGAAAAGGGAGATGGTCCCTGGTTTCAGCAGGTTACCTGTAATATGTCAGCAGAGCAGACTGCACCTTGTCATTGGCTTCTGTTCAAAGCCAGGGGATTCATCTCACCAAGCCTCAGACGGTTACAAGGTGGATGCTTACATCTGAACTGGCTGCCTTAACTCCCTTTACAGGCAGTGGAGAGAAATACCGTCTTTTGCGGTATGATTTAGCGGACTTATTTTCAACATTTATCTTACAAGATGAACTGCATGTTAGTTTCTCAAATGTAAGGGAATCTACCACCTCCTCTAAAGGACAACTTCTGTGAACAGTAACAGTATGGCTCTGGCTCCCACTGTGGTCAACAGACAGGAGCAGTCACAACACCAAAGTTAGTTACCCATAACAGCTGATCTGAATAAACCCCTGGGACTTCTTTGGATCTGATGTCTCTGTTTAAAGGACGTGAAATCATCTCTGTAAAATTTTCTGTGCTAGCTGCCCTCTTCCCCTCTGAGCCTTGCTGGCCACATGCATTTGCTGGTGACTAAAGAACTATCAAATTCCTGCAGCCAAGCATTTTTTGTTTGGTGGGGCTGTGTTTCCATGGCTTCATACTAAGCACCTTGCAGCTCACAAACAGAGGATTTTATTATAGCCTGTGTGAGGTACCGGTCTTTTTTTCCCTGGGTGACATTCAATAGATTAATACATAAGGAGGCCACACAGTGCAGTGAGCTGAATTTACACTTGGCCTTTTAGTGTTTTCAGTTTGTGTGTGATGCCCAAAGCTCTTCTAGTGTCACAGGCTGGATAATAAAACTTCCTAGCAATGCCATAAGCCAACTCAAGGACTGCAAAGGACTTTTGATCTTATCCTAGGACAGTTTTCTGAGATATCTGTCTTTGCCACTAACTGTTGATTTTTCTCTCTAAGGTGTGAATGGAAGCAAGAAAGGAAGAATAGATTTTATTTTGGCCACTTTTTGCATATTTGCAAGACAGAAATGCCTCACTGCCCTCCATGTTCCTGCAGAGAAAAGATAATGAAAATTAACTGCAAAGTATTATTGCCATGCTTGGAAACAGTCACTAGTTTCTATGAGCCCATCAAGCCAGGGCCATACACAGGCATACTGGAGTAAGTTCCTATTAATCCATTGCTGAAGGACAGATGGGTGTAAACTTGGGAAGCATCGCAATTTGGTGATGCATTTTGGCTGAGCTAACATCCCCCATGTTGACATACAGCCATTTTGGCTGATGCAGAGTTAGACCTTGGCTACCTATGCTGTGCTGTGGAGCCAAACCTTTTAGTCGGTAGTTCCAGAACCTCTGGAGATCAAGCTCACCACAGGCTATGTAGTGGGGAGGAATTCTTTCCTCTGAAGTGAGCAGGTTTTTGCATATGGATTGCAGCTTTTCCAAACCACTAAGATTCAGTCCTGTGGATCTCACCCTTTCCAACTTTTGCCTGTCAACAGTGTCAAGCTTAGGACCTTCTGGAGCTCAAAGCACTGGAGCTTTCTCTAAGACTACACCCACTCTTTTCCCTGTGGCTCAGGAATGAAGAGGATTCCTGACAAAAAGTATTACGGCAAATGACACAGAACAGATGGTAACTCACATGGATGTCTCCCTTAATGTAGTCACAGATGGGAATATTTGATCTAGAGCTCCTCAGCTCCTTCCTCCCTCACTGGTCCCCTTTGGAATGCACCGAAGCAGGCATATCTTGGCTTTCTTTCATTTCATTTCTTAGTTTTTAGGAATTGCCTAAAGGCTGAAGCCCTGCCAACTTTGTGAGGCTCTGGTGGCATCTGCAGCATCTGTGGCCAGTGCATATATCTTCACTCAGTTATTGCCTTCATATATAAAAACTCTTCTTGTAACAGGTATTCAGCTGCTGCCCTTCACTGTCAAAGCAGGTGCACTTTAGTGGCTGTGTATTTCTAGGACATTAAGGATACAACCTAGCTGTTCCAAAGAGAAATGAGTTTTTCTATTGCCTTCAAATGATGTGAAAGAGGAGCTGAGGGGCTGGAACTCAGCCTGATGAAGACAGCCAGTGCAGAGGTCTTGTGTACCAACGTCTCAGCCCTGCTAATAAACACTTTGGGCCAGTCCATTATGCCATGGAAACTCAGCCCTTCGTTAATGTTCTGGCAATAAGACAAAAAAAAAGTTTCTACTCCATTGCATTTCCAGGTGTACAGATAAAATGAACATTTCTGGGTTTGCACAGCCTCTATGAAGTCAAAGAAACTGTAAATAAAAAGCACGGAGTAAGAAGAATTGCCAATCCCAAATGCAAAAAGAAAACCAACCAAAAAAAAAAAAATCCCAACTCCACAGTCTAAACTTCTAATTTAGAAAGCAACCGGGAAGAAGGATGTGAAACTTGTCAGAGCCAGAGAGGTCCTTGCAAACATAGACAGTGACAGGAGGTTGACATCTTCCTGAATGCAATTGATTGGATCAAACCCACTGAAACTCCAGTGAACCCAAGTGACAAATATTCTTAGTGACAAAGCTCCAACTTAGAAGTCTTTCTTTCATCTTGTTTTCCTGTCATTACTTTTTCTCTTTTTTTATTGCATTTCCTGGCTAAGGTTCCAAGTTGCGCTACCTCCTATCTGAGCCTGACATACCTTCACATGCGAAGACTCTCTATGAAGAGCTCAGGGTGACAAAAACTTACTTCGCTAGGTGAGTGATGCTGGGGTACATCTGGCCCTGTTAAACTCCCCAAAACTTAAAAGGAAGACATTTCACCATATAAGAATTATTTTTCAATCCTACCTATTCCAGTGATCTGTACCCTGACGCTGTCCCCCTTTTCCTTTCTTGGTTAATTCCCACCCATTTCTTTTTCCTCCCTCCTCCTCGTTACCCTGCTTCTCATGTCTGTATTTCCCCTGTCTACAGCTCTAACAGTCCATGCAGAAGTCTGCGCGACTCCGCTCTGTGATTAATGGCTCCCAGTTCTGATGACTGATTGCCTATGCCAGTTTTATTCACGCCAGCTTCATTTGCTATTGAATCATCTGGAAATGGCACTTGTGGCTCACTGTGTAACAACATGCAACAAGACAGGGAGCGGCATAAGAATTCTCCACTGGTTGGCTTACCTATGTCTGAAATCTTTATTTCTGACAGAAGACAGGAAAGCAGGGAATAGAAGAAAGAATGAGGTGTTAGCAGCTCAGTTCAATGCATTATTAGCAGATTGAAAACTTGACAGTAACTGTATCATACAATGCAATAATAAATAAAGACTTAGCTGGAATGACACTGATATATTTTATATTGGATATTACTTGGCAGTGAGCTCACTTATGTACCGCTGCATATCACAGAGGAAGCGTGATCTCACCTGTTTGGAGTTACTCACTTATGCAAGAGATAGGACCAGGCAGACTTTATCATTCAGAGCTAAATATATGTAGATGCAGATATCATTACAGTTTTTTTCACTCTCAGTCAAAGCAATACCTTGTGATTTACAAAGGTAACTCAACAGTCGCACAGTTATGGGTGGCAGTTCATTGCCATAACCTTGTGAACTCTAGCCCAGAGGACTGAAATTGTGTCAAGCTGGACATTTTTCGTGGGTTTAGTGCCTTACCCAGCTGAAGTTATCTGTGACCCACAATGCATTTGCTTTACTCTCTGCAACAGAACACTACACTCAAAAGACATGCCCCCAAACAAAGCCCAATGGGGGTGTTAATCTCCAAGGAGATGCTGATTTGAGAAGACACAAGCAAACTCCTTTTAGTCCAAAAGCAATGGCTTTCCTCCATAGCTTTTAGTCAGTCAGCACCTGAACCCACTTACTTTATAGCACACCAAAGTGAAGAAATGTTTATTAGATCCAGTAACCTAAGTGTTTGCACAGATGAAGCAGCAATTGTTCCAGCAGATTTAACTCTGGAGTAAATTTAACTCAGTGGCTCTACACAAAAGCCAGCAAGACCACTCTGTTAAGGTTTCCAATTTTCTCTTTTCCAATGAGGAAATACTCTGCAAAACCTCCGCTGGGTCTGGTATTTCCACTGACAATGAAACAGGGACTGAGTTTTCAGAATTTTACTTCCGGGAATGAGATATTAATCCCACTCAGTTGCAACGGGATTTGGGCCCCAAATCACCTAGGCTCTTCTGGAAATCTCACCTTTGGTCATTAAAATAACTTTCTGGCACTGGAAGAATATTACATTCTTTAATGTGGACCAAGGTTTAAGAATTATCCCAGCTTCCCACCTTACAAACATGAGAGAGATTGTGTTCTTGTATATCACATAACAGAATAGCAAGAATCAGGCTCTCGCTTATTTACTCAAAAGGTACCCCAGCCAGCTGAGATGTGACTGTAAACATCTCATTGTGGGCTTCCTAATTCAGTGACTCCTGATTTCCTTGTCGACCTGAGAGCATACCAAGACAGCTTTTCTCTAAGTCCCAGCCTTGTGATGGCTTTCTGGATTTTTTTTCTCTTACACTATGATCTATGATGATGATTCTGTGTGCCAAATAAGAATGGTCTTATGACCATTCAGCAAGGTCAAATGACTGTGGCATGTTTGTAAACGAGCAATTAATGGGACCTTGCACCAATTTTGCTGCAGACCAGCTCTTTCCTATTTACCTGTGGCCTTGTGGAGCAAATGGAAATACAAAGTGATGCTATATGGGACCCTGCTGCTCTAGGAAGCGGTCTAGTAAGCTTCCATGTGGCAGTCCTTGCAGAAATGGAGCCTTACTTTTGTCCTCAGCAGCCAGGACATTAAATCTGAGTACAGCAGGAAGTTTCTTACTTTCTGGAAAATTCTTATTTTCAGGCCAGATCTTGACAGGTAAATGGGAATGTGAAGCTTCCCACCATGCTAATCTCATATTGACCTCTCAGGACCTTAGGTCAGGCCCTTCAAGCAGAGAAGACTCATTCAGAAACACTAATTTAACTCTACTGACTTTCCTGGAGTGAGTCTTGTCTGGCCACACAGAGTTCAGAATCAAGCCCTGGTGCTTTGAAGTCGAAATTTGTTGCGGAAATTTTAGATAGGAAAAATACCCCCAGTGAGGTCAATTTGAAGTTTTGGTTCAGTCACAGACTATTTCATTTTCTCAGAACTTGTTTCAAACCTATACTATACTTTTCCCTCTCCTTCCTTGTTTTTAATGGGTGTTCCTTCCCCATCCTCCCTATTTCTTCTAATCTGTTTTTTTTCCTTTGCTATTTGAGGTTTAAAGGAAACACTTCACTTACTTTCAGATGATCCATCTGTATGTTCACCCTAACACTGCTGTTCAGCTGGGAACTAAGCGGGGCTGATACATTTGTCCCCAAAAAACAACTAGAAACCCCCAGTCTGTGACTACCTAGAGTGATCATCTTGTCTTAATTATGAATGATCATCTGTCCCGGTTAACCTCTACATATCATCATCAGTGCTGTGTCCTTCCAAGTTTAGGTTATCTCAGAGGCTGATTGTTAATGTTAAGAATTCCTACCGGTCTCTAACTACATGAAAAGACAGACATCAACACAGTTTGACTTAGCAGCACAAAAATGTATCAGTATTTTTGGGGTGTGATTCAATTCTGGAAGAACTTGTTATGTCTGTGTTTCTCTGGTATAAATTAAAGTCAGCAGAGTTGCAGAAGAGGCAAATCCGGACAACTTTTTTTCTGTTTTGCTGTGGGTTTTTTTTTTTAAGAGCTTTGCTCATTTTCCATTTGGGTACATAAGCTTTCTGCAGAACTTAAGGGCATAATTATAATGGCCACATTCAGCACAATGTACCTCAGCTCCAGTATGTTGGTGACATTGCCAGAGGGAAATATCCTTCGGATGTAGTTGAAATCTCCAACATAAAGACTTCCATCAGACCCACACGTTAGGGCAACAGGAGCCAGGAGTTTGTTCCCATCTGCAAGACCATTGCAGCTTGGACAAGAAATGCTACGTCTGCGACCATTGCCCATAATGCTTCCAATTACAGGCGGCTGCTGGGAAATAAACTGGTTTTCCCCATTTCCTTTATGCAAGATGCCTAGAGAGAGAAAACAGTAATAGGGAAATTAAAGAGAGACAGGGAAACTGAGACCAAAGGGAGCACAAACTGGTAATGCTGGATGCCAGCTGGGGAATTTGTCAAGTAGCAAGGAGGTTTAGCATCTTTTATAGCATTGTTTTGTGATGGTTTCAAATGAGGAGCCTCTTGTATGAAGTAAGTATTTTTTATAGACCCACTACATTTCCTGCAGAACAAAAGTATGTAGGGAGAACAAAACTGTCTTTACTTTTGAATGAAATACACTTTCAGTGTCTCATGAATTTTCACCTGCCCTTTCTGTCCCTCCTTGCCCTGTAATTTGCAGCCTACCAGGTAAAAAAAGAAATTACATAGCTCCTGGAAAGGTAAGGGACAAGAAGACCATGGTGCGTTCTCTAGAGAAATGTCTCACCTGCAAAGCTTTAGAGGAGCTCTGCTTATGTTCCCTGTAAGTGTAGCGTTTTCAGCAGTGATGTGGGCTGAATATTTGCACCCATACCACTGCTATCATCCAGAGGGACACAGTGTTTCCAACTTCTGAACATGTTTTTGATCAGCTTTCAAGCCTCCCTGCTGTGGTCTTGAGCAGCCTTCAAGGGCTCTGGCACCTTCCATTTTCCCTTACGACCCATGAAGTTTCTCGTTTCTGCAAGTACACTTGTGCATTGGTGGATGTGTCTGGGTGGATTTATGCTCTGTGGTAGGTCCAACCTAAATAGGCTCCCCTTTGTTATTTTAGGAATATTTTCCTTGTTAATACCCTTCTTTTAAGACGCTACAAAGTTGGACATGCTGACATTCAACTACTTCATGATGGCCAGCTTCTTTTGCATTTACACACACCAAATTGCTTTTAAATGTAGGTTACTGGAAGTAATTTGTTAGCAAAATACATGAGAGAGTACATGTGTTGGTTAGGTTTCTTTCCTTTCCTTTTCTTGAATTCTTAACGGTAAGAAGCAACTGGTCCTTGCAACACTGCCTTAATCCTGTTACGTGTTACAGACAACCTACCACTTTGTATGTTGAGGGCATGGTGTTTGTCCAGGGACCATCCTCCAAGTTTGGAAGCATCAATTTCATAACCCTGAAGTACAGCTGTCCTCTTCTCCCACAGGATCAGGTCAGGACAGGATTCATACTCATAACCTACTGAAACTATGAACAAGAGAGAAACAAAAGACTCCTCAGATTAGCAACCCAGAAATGCACAGTCAGCACACACAGAGTTTCAACTGAGCAGGGGTAAGAGCATTTCTACAGGCGACTGCCAATTTCATTTAAAATGTCATCAGAATGCAGAGTCCTAATATTTTTCTCTTTAAAGGCCACCTTGCATTTAAAAATGTCAACGCAGTTGTAGATGTTGGGCAAATGTGCTAAATATTTAAAAGGCACTGTTCTAATGACATATTTTAAAACAATGGATATTCGAGAGTATAAACCACTGCTGGACTCCTAAATGGGAGCATTTCACTCCTATCTGCTATCTTTGGTCAAAGACCGCATGTTAGACACTTGCTAAAAATCATGGTCCTTCTTGGAAAGTAAAGACTTATACGAATGAGGCATGGGGCAGCAAGACCCTCAGAGACAGCCGTCTTAGACCAGGTTGATTTGTGGTCATTGTTAATGTCAAAAGAGCTTGCTTGCCATGATGTCTAATCAGAGCCTTTTGGGAGAAACTCCACTGGACACTTTGGAGCTGCTTAAGAGTGAAATGATGTCAGTAGAAGGAAAATCATCTTTTTGACAGAATAATGTCTCCTTTATGATTTTCTCAGAAGAAGCAGACCAGTTTCACTGGTCTGCTTTTCTTCTGCCCTACCTGATCTTTTCCGTGCTAACAGCTGAAGTAGGGCAGTTCTACACAACTGAAAAGCAAGTACATAGCTCATTTTTTTTACTAGATAAAAATAAAGGTCTGATCTTACAAGTTTCCTAGCCTCCTTGAAAAGTGCTGAGCACTGAGCGAACTCAGGATCCCCTGTCAAACACAGCCTTTTGGAGAATCAGACAGTATCAGAGGAAGATGTAACTTAGGAAATGTATGCTTGATATTTTCCATTGTTCTAGAGGTGGGAATCATTGAAAGCCTGAATGCTGATGTCCTCAGAGCTGCATCATGGAGAACTCCGGGACCCACCACTGATCTAGCATCTTAAAGAGCATGTAAACATAGTCTTTGAGGATATGCTACCAGGACACATTTCTTAGCCTGGACTCCAAACTAGGTAAAGCTCAGCAGGTTGTATTATCCAGCCTGCTCAAAGCAGCTGAGCCTCAGTGAGAGGAATGCACCTATTCTTCCTTCTAGAAAACAAGGTATCCTACAGCTCCTCTGAAGAAACTTATCTTCAGTTGGGCTACAAGGCATCAGTGAACCACCCTTCTGTCAACAACAGCTCTGTTTGCTAATTTGGAATCTCTCCCATTTTGTTGATACAATTTCCCTGGCAGCCTGAAAGGTCTAGTCTAGACTCCATTGAAGACATGTAACTGAATGTCCTCTGGTCGTTGATCAGATGGGAAGCAATCACTGCAGAGCTCCATCACCTCTGCTCACTGTACACTCCAAGTACCCCCTTCGCTCCAGCACCACCGCACAGGGCTCACTGAGTGAGGTCTGGGATGGCGGCAAGAAGAGGAATGAAGTACGTCTCAGCATACATCCACCGCACGGCTTCCTGCCCCACCACGGACTTCAGCTTCTGCCCCTGTAGAGTGGTTGGCATCGGCCACAATGCTTGGTGCTGGGGATGTGGCACACTGAGTATGCAGAGCCTTCCTATTCTCTACCTTGCAGCTTCTGACAGTCTTTTGCAGATGTAAATGAATGCACAAGGTACAAGAGAGAGGACCACCGTGCCCTAGTTTGGGATGGTATTCATGAATGGGTAACGAAGAGGAAACTAAGATTAGAGCAATCCTGAAGGTCAGGCACAATGAGTAGTGGAGATCAGGGCTCGTTCTAGGGGTTCCTTTCAAAGCAGTGCTGATCGCTTTTGGCTATTGGTGAGAGGCAGCCAAACGCCTCTAGTCCCAGTTCATTCCTTCTGTATGAAGATGATGGTAGCAGCTCAGGATGTATGTGCTGGGCCATGAGCCAGAGAACAGATAAGTATTCATCTGTTGGGGAAATGTGTGCTGCCTGAACAGCTGGGCCCAATCCTCTCCAAGGAAACTGCAGTGAACCAGCAGGGACCATTTTATGTGTCAGCAGTCGGACCATACTGACCTAGGACAAGGTCTGTGCATTGCCACTTAGCTGCCTCTAAAAAGAGACACAAACCCTGGGGTCACTTACCGAAGGCTTCTGAGAGCCCATACACCTTCTGGCTGTAGACGTCTGTCTTATCCCAGACGAAATAATAGGACAGGTCTGGAGCAGCTGCAAACCACTTTCTGAAGAGGCGTCCCTCGACGGCCACCATGAGGTGGACTTTCATGAGGTTGAAGGGGATGGTGGGGTGGGTCATGCTGATCCTCAGGACTGATTTGTAGCCAGCTGTGCGACTGCTCAGGTAACTCACTTTTATTTTACTACCAGAAACGTTAATCTCCTCCTGTAGAGCCTGTGGAAAAGCAATCCAGGAGGTGTTAAATCAGCAGGGAGCAGACAGGAAAAGGCAGTGAAGCTGTAATTTATCAAACAGACCTTTATAAAAGCTCTGGTAGACATGTCTAAAAAAGTGCACCTAGTAGGCATCAAGTATGAAATCATGTATGTAATTTATAGGGTTAGTTGTGGAAGCCAAGGAATGTCCCCTTCTTTCTCCATCTCTGTTACATGGGAGAACAGGAGACCAAAGTATCACATTTAAGTCAGTGTTTACAACAGGACTCACTGTTAAAAGCAGTCCCAGGACCCACAGTGAAAGGAGCTTGGGGTCTGAGATTATTCCAGTCCTTCACCTTAGCTTCCATTTTCCGTCTTTTGTATGGCTGCTAATTTTTGTCTCCCAGCTTCTTTTTCCCAGTAAAATACCAAGCCCTGCTTGGCACGTATACTTCTGGATGTTCCCCAGCCCTGATCATAACCTGCCATTCCCTCCATGTCATTAGTAAATCCTGCTTCCATCCTCTCTCCTCTGACTTACTCATCTCTCCTTTGAAACTGCTCCTCTCCTACCTCACCTCTGACCCTCTTTGCCTGACCTACCTCTAGCCTTTTTTTTCCTGTGTCCTGGTCCTTATTTTCTGCCCTCACATTTGTTCCTACTTATACTGGTCCTTGCTTAAAATTCCCTCCCCTCTTACCTGTGTGATGAAGCTCTTGGCCTGACCACCATCAACCCCTCTCCATTCCCCTCCTTTTCTAAATTCCTCTGTATTCTGGGTCAATTGGTTCATTTTCTCCTCCAGCCATGAGTATGACTATTTCTGACTGACTGGGACAGTTATTTCATAGGTTTCCATTCCAGTAAAAAATTTCACAGAAGACTGGGGAAACAGCAGGGAAAGTTTTGTCTGTCCCTTTCTGCTTTGAGAATAGAAAAGTCTCAGTAAAGATGGGATTTTCAGCTAATTTACCTGATAAAGTATAATCAGATCTTAAAGTTTCCTTTTTTTTTAAATTGAGAAATGCAGGGAAATTTTCTGGAAAGTGATACAATGTACATCCTTGACACCATGCTGATTCTCCCATGCAACACACTGATTAAAAAAAGGGCATTTCTTTCTTAAGTCTTAGGCGAAAAAAAATCAGTTGTCACTTTCCAGAAAATTTCACTCTTAGGTAAGCTCCCAACATGGACATTTTCAGCACAAGCCGGCAACCTTTGGCAAAGTTTGAAAGCTGAAGGTAGAAACTTAGCAGTGAGCTGGAAAACTTGGTCTGATAATGGGATGTGTCAGGAGGTCACAGCTGGCACTGACCTCTCCTGCACCACTTCTGAAATACTTCGGCGTGCTGGACCCTAAATGAGCTGTGAAAATACCTCCCTAGCAATAATCAGCTTTTGTAATATTAAGGGCATGGAGGGTTGAAGGCAGCTGGGTCAAGAGACCCACCCATCAGGAAAGGACACATCCACCCTCGTGTCCTCCAAGCTACGTGGCTCCTGTACTCGACTCCTCCTATGTGGGAGCAGCCAACTTCCCTGGCGTAACAAGTTGCTCATCCCTTATGGGTTTTCTGGTTAGCATTATCAATAACGACAAATCTTGTAATCTGCCCCCTGAAAAGATCTCTTCTAAGGTATTATCCAAAGCCCAACACATTTTCAAGTGATAACTTACAGCCTCTGAGCGTTGCAGCACTTGACAAAAGGACACATCCAGAAGTTAAAGCGCTGTTCCACTGTGCTTATAAATATTTACTTTCTCTAATGCAGCCTTTTCAATTAACATATCTCAGTGCTTAGGAGGCTGAAAAATGACAGAACTGGGAAAACCCAGGAATTTTAAAATATATTTTATGAGCTCAGCAACAAGCTGGGCTGGGACCAGGCTCAACCAGAGACCAGCTGAGCCAAGCTGCAGTAAAGGTGGTCCCTTGTATCAAATCTGTCTTCATATGTAATCCCTCTAGGAAAAAGCCAAGCAGAAATAATTGTCATAGAGGTACTATTTGCAATGTCTGGTTCAAATCCCTGTCAGAAATAATTATTTCTCTCTGTCATGATATGTCTCTGCTGTCTACCATTCCAGAGACAGGGTCAGCACAGTGGTACCAAGGCACTGAGCAGCACAAGGGGCTGTGTTTAAAGGCACCTGCTTCAAGAGAGGGTTCAAATGGTAATTCAAATTATCTGAAAGACATTTGTAAGTAGTGATAAACTAGCAACAAAGCAGGGCATTGGTGGGAGTAGTACAATCCAGTAGGACATTGGTGGGAGAAGAGGGGAAAAATAAGGTTTAAAATACTCTGAATGCACCAAAAGTAACAACAGCTGAATTACGTCCTTATTTCTATTTGATGATTTGCTGGTTGGCCCAGATAAATTCATACACTGTGTCTGGGATCCTTGTGAAAGACTAGGGCTCTTTAGAGTTTATCACAGCCTAACCAATGTTAGGTGGTCCAGCCACCAGGCCATTCAGGCAGAAGAGCTGGTTCTTCAGGCTTACTAAGGATTTTCACAATTTAGCAATTTTCACTGCTGTGTTCCCTTCACTTCTGGGTGTTGATCTATGCTTGCGTTAGTAGCAATTCTTCCATGCTTTTCATGAGACAATGTAGAAAACCTTGGTTTTGTGTGCTGGGTTACACGTTTCTTACAGCTACTCTCCATTCTGCCAGCAGCCAAGGCAAGGAACAATAAATCTTTTTTTTTTTTAATATGATCCTCAGAAGGAATTTTGAGAAAGCAAAGCATTTAGGGTCTGACTCAGGGGCCTTAACATAGACATCTAGTGCTTTTGAGATGTTCCAGATGTATCCAAAACCTGTGCAAGGGGATGACAGATCTGACATGGACCTTCTTGAGATCACCGCCTTTCTGAAGCTACAGCTGGAGGCCTGAAGGGACACTTAAATGGCACCAAATCTGTCCTTAGGCACCTGAATCAAACACTTAAAAGGCATTATTTGGTCTTTTGAATGCATTCAGGTAGAGGACACTGCATTTATATGTTGGAGTGCAAGAGGTTCCTATCTGCCCACTTGTCAAAATCTCTTTCCCAGCCCTGCCATCCGCTTGTCACCTCCTCTCAGCTATGTACTCACACCTTCTACATTTAACATTTCTCTGCTGAGAACTGTGTGCTATAAAATGCAGCTGCAGAAACTGACAGCTAGGTTATTTTTCAGTGTATGTATAGCCAGTATAGGAATGAAAAGTAGTCCATTTATGAACTGAAGTACAGTCAGGACTCTGCCATAAATCAGATTCTTTTGTATACTCCTGCACCACAAACTCCATTAACCTTCAGCTGTCAATATCTGAGGTGGAATACTGTTTTACAGGTTTGAGCTCAATCATTCGGCATGTGGGAAAAGTACTGTTCATCAGGTATCGGATCTATCTTACCTAAACTCAGGAACCTAAAAGTTAGGAGACTCCTCTGAACTACTCTTCTAGGTCTCTCCATGGCAAACGAGCGGAGATAGGCTCTTTAGAAGGTTGGTGTTGCCACGTAAACTTAAGAGTGGGATTCAATTTCAGTTCAAGGCATCTAAATCCAGCTGTCAACATATGAGCGTATGCATGTGAGGTATACATGTAAGTGTCAATTACAGTCAGGGGAGATCTAACTGATACCATCAGTAGGAATCAGATACCTTCAAGACGATCAGCTTAATTGATCTGTAGACTCCACTGATGGTATCGGTTAGATTTGTCAGCTTTAATGTGATCTTGGACACCTAGCACACATCCAGACAACTGCGTGTGAACACCTTATTTAGGTGCCATAATCTCAAAATTAATCCCACTTAGGTCTTAATTAGATTCCAGAACTACAGGTGTCTCATGCGATTTGGGATGTCCAAGTTATCTGACATTCACAAGGGTTAGGTAGATATAATGCAGGACACTGAGAGGGGGATCATTCTGGACTGGCAGTTGGAGGACAGGCAGGATATCTGCAGAACATTGCGAATGGCACTAAATATCTATGATGAGGGTGGTACAACACTGGCAGAGGTTGCCCAGAGAGGTGGTAGATGCCCCATCGCTGGAAACATTCAAGGTCAGGCTAGTCAGGGCTCTGAACAACCTGATCTGGTTGAAGATGTCCCTGCTTATGGCAGAGGGGTTGGACCAGATGACCTTTAAAGGTTCCTTCCCACTCAAACCATTCTATGATTCTATGATCTATAGTCAAGAAACTGTATCAAACCATTGCTTATGATCTACATCCCTGGCTGCTTACACATTTGAAAGACAGACACGCACTTTTATTGAAGAGGAGTTTTAGAATGTTTTAGTTCAATAGATGTGATAAACACAATCTAACGATTAACACAATCCTACCAAATAATGAGTGAGGTTATAATTATAGTTGCACCGTATCAGATGCTTCTTTTCCAGGCAGCACTGAACATTACCTTTCACTGTGTTTGTTGGTTTAGGAAAAAAAGAGATGTGAAAACTGAACCAAGAATTTGCAACTTGATGGACTTTACAAGATATGGGACTTAATTAGTAATTATGCTGGGACAAACCTGGTGACTTTAATTGGAAATTAGAGTGAGGAAGGATCACAAGATTTGGTCCAGATGGAAAGTTAAAGAGACCACTGGCTTTATTTGTTGCTGGGTTCAGTACCTGGTGTATTCAAATTAGAAGTTATAAAGTTACTTCTTTCCTCATTAACGCTACTGCAACCCCAATGGAGTCAAGCAAGAAGCACACAATTTGTCCCTACACTTGTTATTATTTCTACCTTGGCAGACTATTATTTGTTACTAAAATCAATACCCAGGACATGCCCAATGCTGGCATCTAAAACCCAGAGAACAACATGCCCAAGAAAGGAAAGCTTGAATGCCACTACATCCATATATTTCAACACAGTGAGTATTTTTAAAGAAAATGGATAATTCAGTTGTTTGGACTACTCAGTTTAAAACCCAACTTTCTATTTGGCAAAATATTTTGAATCCACAGCAGGTTGTTAAACTACTTTATCTAACTCACACTTCCTTAAAAAAGGGATGAGAAATTAAAAGTAACCCTCTGGCTTTGCTCATTTATCCCAAATGTCATGAAATGCAATAAACCCCAGGTGCTCCTCAGACTGGCCATTTGCCAGCCGTCTGCTGGCTGATGGCACCTCTCGGCAGCTTTGCAGAGTGAGGGGTATGCCTTCAAACCCTGAGAGAGTCCACACCTGGTACCCCACCCACCACTGAGGTCCATAATGCCCAGCGGGTGAAATGTGCTCCTGAACAGAAGAAAGTCATTAGAGCATAAGTGGTCCATCAGCCTCACGTTGGGCCTATTGAACGCCAAAGGGCTGCCCAAAGGCTTGTTGTGGGTCACATGAGGGTCCCAGCCCACCTTCTGCAGATGAGAAGTGAAAGCAAAGCAAAGCCAACGTAAGTTTTCGCTGTTGGCCACAAATGCTTTGCCTCCATCTCTCAGGGATAAGGGAAAAGAAACCTTCCGGTGAAGCGCGTGCTTGTGACCAAACACTCCTGGCAAATGTCTGAAAAATGGCGTAACCAACGGGGGATGCTTCTTTTTAGGAAGGCAGGGCAACAGTTGCATTTGTGATGCTCAAAGAAGGCAAAAGAAGCACAGGAAGGAGATGGATTATTTTCTCCTCGGCTCAGACAGTCCATACCTGGATTTCAGGAACAATAGGTCCTTTCTCCGAGCAGGAACTTGCAAAAGCTGTCAGCGGAGATGGGGAGACCACAGGGTTGGGCCGGGCAAAGTTACTGAGGTCACAGCTTGGGATCTCATTCTCTTCATGCCTCATGACGATGGTTTCCATCACAAAGAAGCGATCCCATGGCAGCCACAGTGTGTGCTCCTGGGTGATGAAGGGAGCCCTCTCAAAGTGCAGGATAATGGAGATCCCACCAATGGTAACAAGATCAAAGCTGTTTTAAGAGATGGAATACGAAGTTAGTGCAAGCACCACCCCATCTGTTTGTAGCAGTTCCCTAGCAAGAACTCCCAGAAAAATAATGGCAAGAAATGTCATCATCCACATTTTACAAGCCTAAAACCTACAGCCCAAAGAGGCTTTAGTTGAGTAAAAGCAAGTGGCAGAGGCAGAAGTATAAACTCAGCTTCTTTGCATGTTGCCTTTATGTGTATTAAAAACATACCCATCCCTTTTTTTGAGACAAATGTTTATCTTTGTTAGTGCTAGTGTTATTTGACCACACATACTAATTTTCTTTTTTTTTTATTTTTAAAAGTATTTATCATCCAAACGCAGTCATGGGATTGGATCAATTCACATGATGAAACAAACCACCACACAAATTGTCTTGGCATCACTGCTAACCTGGCTGATACCTAACGCATCCCAGGGAACACGTGGAGCCCAGCCATGGACTGAGCCTCCTGTACTAGGCACAGGGAAGAAACAAACGCCTTGCAGGCAGTCTCCGTACCACAGCACGTAGTCTTTTTTGACTCTTAATCATTTAGAGCAGGGCAGGTAAGTTACTGTCTGTGGTCTGCAACTTTACCCTATGCCACCTCGAGCCAAGTGGCTTTTCTGCCTGCGTCAGTGTTGGATAATATTATGTCAGGCTAACAGACAGCCCTCTAGATGTTACCCTGATAAGGAAAATATTTGCCCCTTCGGATGTAAAGATGTTGGGATAGGATTTTGGAGTTTTTCTTAGTTTTGTATTTAAACTTCACATCTTGTCAGAGACGGAGATTTTATGAACTACCACGGGATGTATCTGCTACGTATAGACTCAAAAAATAGGTTTTAACTGAGAAGGGAAAGCATTTCAACATAATTTGAAGACCTCTCATTTTTGCTGCTTTGTTTTTTTTTCTCAGTATCTATTCAGTTGCAATGCCAAATGTGTGTTTCAGGTAAAGAAAGCCTTCTCATCCCTGCTTCTCACTTTTGATGCTTGGCGCTGGCATATGACAGTCTCACACAGATTTTAAGCACGTGAATAGGCTCGGTCGCTTCAGCGGAGCTGCTCGTGTGCTTAAAAGCCATATGCTTAAGTACTACTCTGACAGCCCAAAGCTAGACTTGATGCACCTCGTAATTACAAGGTAAGAAAGAAGCTGAAAAAGTATTGAAAATTATTTTTTAAATGAATTACGAAGCTTTCAGATTGGCTGCAAAAATCGCAAGGGAACAACAATGGGTATGAACTATTTCTAAAAAAAAATTCTTGGCAAGCAATCATTCAGGCGAACCTTTTTTTTTTTGTTTATGGCTGATGGACTGAGGTGCCATTTATTAAATATAACTACGAAAAGAAAGTTATTCAGGAAAGAATGTTAAATTGAGTCCATGGGAGGGAGTAGAAAGCATTTAAAAAAGTTAAAGACATGTTTATTCTACAACTCAAGTGGGGGCATCAGCTTCCCAGACCTATGGAGCTTGGCTTGTAACAGCCTGACGAGTAACTTGCTCGTCCTTGCCAGCAAAGCTGCGCAGCATTTGTACTTTGATGAGAACATTTTTAACAGTCAATTAGCATTTGGCAAGCCCTTCAGCTAGGAGGGAGAAGCTTGCTCTGCATGAATCCCGGCACTGAAAGAGGCAATGGGAGGAAAGAAACAAACATTACAAATGATGCACAAGAAGTTTTTTAGGCAAGTGGGAAGAGTTTTTATTTGGAAACACCTCTGTTTCACTCCTTTGTGAGTGGTTCTTGGCTTCATTGAGCCTGGGTCAGGGATGGTAACCAGCTGGAGGGAAACATCCTTGCCTTTCCTGCATCCCCAAAACAGAATGCAGAAGGGAAAGCACTACCTCCACGTCAGGCTGCAGCAGCTGTGAAAACAGAGCCAGGCAGTATTTTTTAGCAGGCGCTGTTGCTCATGAGCCAGTTTTCCCAGAGTCACAGGGTGCAGCTTTGAAGTTACCTTGATGAACTGAACAAAAGCTAAAGCCAAAACCAAACAGAAAAACCCAAAATGAAAACATCTCCCTCCCAGCTTCCCTCAGTGAAATTAAATTTAACAAGAGCAAAACTATCTTGGGATTGAAGGAACGAGATAATTTTATTTCTGGTTTTGCTGCTGATCTCTGATGTCGTTTTTATCACTCTGAAAAAATCATACTTGTTGTACAGTCATATTGTTCTGTTTTTCTTAAAAGACTCTAGAGAGACAGGCCAAAGGATAAAACGCTCTATTTATCCACAAAGCACGCTCAAAAAAAAAAAAAAAAAAAAAACCACCACAGAAAAGTGTGGCTCTTTCTCATCTCTTTGTTCTGAAAGTTTATGTATTTGGTCTTTCAGAAACAGCCATGCCAAAGTTGCTGAATGTGATGGCAAGTACATGATACTAAAAAAGTCTGGAGACTTTCCTACTGTTTTATTAACACTGTGCCTACAACCATTGGATACTGAGGACTTGCAGCCTTTATAAACTACCAGTTTAATCAAATTTAAAACTTCATTTTAAAACATGATTTATAATCCAGTACTGATACTTTGATCCATCTATTAACTTTGCTTTACAGAGAAATGCATACAACAGAGTGGTTTGAGAGTTGTCATTTCATCTTCATGCCTTGTTATCTGAAAAAAGTCTGTGCTCCAATAATTAGCCTAAAAACACATGCAAGCCTTGAAGTTATCAAAGTTTCACTCAGACTAAGTAATGTGACTTAAATAGGACCAGGATTTCACTATTAGAGGCTGTACCTGAGTACTGTAATAGGAGTGAAACCTACTTGCAGAGCCCTGGAATACAGTGAACCCAGTTATCGGGGTGAAAGATTCACTTCATCGTAATTCTAAAACTGAAATTTTACTTATGATACTCATTTTGCAACTTGGTCATGCCAAAAAAAACCCTCCCCAAAACCAAACCTGAAGCAACAAAATGAGCTTAGGAACCAATCTAGCTAGAGTGATGCAATTCTGTCTTTAAACTCCCTTACTTCCAAACCACAGTTATTGCCCTGCTAACAATAAACTGATTTGCTAAATCAATTTAAGGCAACTCAGTGCACGTTTTCAAGAATAGGTATTCCTATGGTGAATATGCCAAATAATAACGCCAGTGAGTTTTCTGCAGTTATCTCATAACCCCTTGAACAAGGTAACTGCTTGCACGTGTGCTCCCATTTTCCTTCCAAACCAGAATGACACCAAAGATGGTCCAGATGACCTCATATGACTGCACGCTGCCATGGACTGGGAATGCATGCAGTCTGCTGCTGTAGTTCAGGAGAAACTGCTTCTTCCTTAAGAGCATCAATTTCTTAAAACAAAAAGTGATTCAATCACATGAAAACTGCACTATGAAAAAGCTGATGAGAAAAGAGTCATGGTCTATTCAGAAAACTACTAAAAACCATCAAAACACGTAACAGAAACTGTAATAGCAATAGTTTTTTACATGATTTTGAAAGTGCTTTACAAATAGTATTTAACAAAGGCTATAACAATCAGTAAGGAAGGCAAGTAAATGTTATCTCTCCTTCACAGGCTGGTTGGCTGCCCTAGGAAGGTTGAGAGATGCATCTAAACCTACCCACTAAATCAGCGGCGAGACTAGGATTAGAAATAAGGGATGTCTGACATAATTTTCTGCCCTGACACTTTTAGTCTGAATGCTCTTAAATACTTCAAGGTAATTTTTGGAAGGTCTCACCACTGAGGATGCAGCTGGATTTGGGTGTTCTTTGAGAGAAGGGCTTTCACTTGTCCATTTATTATCTCCAGAGTACACAGATGCACTGCTGTGCTCGTCCATTTAAGAAAATATCTGCATGTATGCCTCAGACAATTTTGGAAGGTATTTTTATGGCTCCAGAGACTCAATACTGCAACTGGACAATTTGTTGAATGTTGATTGTGCATCAGACATGCACAAGGTTTCTGCAGAAGAACATTGATTTGAAAGGAAGGTGAAGAACGTGGAAACAGAAGAGCTGACACTACACAGTTTGGAGTTTGACCACCAGCAGCTGCCTACAGAAATCCCAGCTTCAAGATGAATCCCACTTGGTCACAGATTCCCTGCTCTGAGAAAGCTGATCTCTGTCATTTTTATCATTTGGAGCTGAGTATCTGTCAGGGGTCGAGTCAGCAAACTGCAGCACTGAGCTCCTTGAAACTAATTTAACTTCTGGAGGCCGGCAGCCAGTCCCGAGGAACCAGCAGTCTACTGAAGATTGGTGGAGCATACGGATGCTCCAGTTGCATTGCTTTCTGCCCCAGGTCCCCTGCTCAGCTGGAGGTTGGGAAGGACATGGTGTGAAAGGAACATCCCTGGCTTGAACTGCCAGTAGAATTAGGTTTATAGCAGAGAGGACTTGCCATTCACCACCCAAGAACTGGAAAGAAAAAGTTACTCAAATATTACAAAGGTCTGGAGCTCGGATAGCAGCGCTCACCTCCGTGCCCTGTGCCTGTTTAGCTTACGGGTATGTTTGCTGCCTAGAGGTGCGATTTAAGAAAAAGTCCCTCTGTGCTAGGTACAGCACAATTGCAATGCAAAGAGATGGTCCCTTCCTCAAAGTACTTGTAATCTAAATGAAAGATTACACATGGTAGTTGGATATTGTATAGACAACAAGGAAACAGGTGGAAAAAAACGTTATGGCAGGCATTATTGTCCAGGAATTTTGCAGGCATATTTATCTGTTCTAACAGATACAGGTTTTGTGCTGGTCTACACAGCAATCTGATCTTGAGAGTGCAGTTTGGATCTCACTTTCACACAAAGTAGGTTCAGTAAGGTTGACAGAGATACTCATAGCATAAATCTTCAAGACTTTCTCCTTTTTGCAGTAGTGCCCAAGCTATGGGCAATACAAAGGCACCAGCTCCAGAGGCATCCTTTTCTGGAGACTACTAGTTTTCCTGGGATGCCTCTTTATTACCTGGATTTTATTGTCACGTCATCCAAGAGGTAGAGCATCACTTGGAAAGCTTCCTAGTCACCATCGGTGTAACAGTAGGTGCAAACTCCCCTGAGCATGAGCAAGGCAGCATTAAACACGCGTTGCTGGCACATATTCCTCTTTCATTAGAATTCTATCAGCTTCTCTGGCCAAGTCAAACCTTTAATGAAAGTCGTGGATCGGAGAGGTGTTAAAATCTATAAATCCTCTCCCAAGTGCTAGTGGTTAGTAGTCAATACATAGAGCATGTGCAGCTGGAACCCCTTGTGTTTCATTTTTGTTCTTAAAAGAAAGGGAGCCAATTAGCACTGACAGACAAAAGATAAGATGAAAGACATTCCCAATTTGCAATGCTTTTGTTTCGGCTGAGCGTGATTGCTCAGATTTGAAGCACTTGCCTCTAACACAACTGTAATCTTAATGACTTCCTCCTAATCATTTCAACATGAATTAGCAAGAATAGAGCTATTGGGAACAGGAGACATCTTTTCTTTACGTGTATGGGCATTGCATTGCCCAATTATGTTGGTTAAAGTTTCTAGGTGATATCACAAAGTTAATAATAATAAATAAGAAGAATAGAATAGACTATTTCAGTTGGAAGGAACCTATAACGATCATCTAGTCCAACTGCCTGACCACTTCAGGGCTGCCCAAGTTAAAGCAGGTTATTAAGGGCATTGTCCAAATGCCTCTTAAACACTGACAGGCTTGGGGCATTGACCACCTCTCTAGGAAGCCTGTTCCAGTGTTTGATGATCCTCTCGGTAAAGAAATGCTTCCTAATGTCCAGTCTAAACCTCCCCTGGCACAGCTCTGAACCATTCCCATGTGTCCTATCACTGGATACTGAGAGAAGAGCTCAGCACCTCCCTCTCCACATCCCCTCCTCAGGGAGCTGCAGAGCGCAATGAAGTCGCCCCTCAGCCTCATTCTCTCCAAATGAGACAAACCCAAAGTCCTCAGCCGTTCCTCACAGGACATCCCTTCCAGCCCTGTTACCAGCTTGGTTGCACTCCTCCAGACACATTCAAGGACCTTCACATCCTTCTCCAGTTGTGGGGCCCAGAACTGCACACAGTATTCAAGGTGAGGCCACATCAATAATGAATACAGCAGAATAATCACCTCTGTTACCTGACTAGTGATGCGGTGTTTGATGCACCCCAGGATGGGGTTTGCCCTCTTGGCTGCCAGGGCTCACTGCTGACTCGCATTGAGCTGCTGTTGACCAGCACCCCCAGATCTCTTTCTGCAGGGCTGCTCTCCAGCCACTCCTCTCCCAATTTATGCTTGTGCTTGGCATTACTCTGTCCTAGGTGCAGAATCTGGCATTTTGACTTGTTAAATTTCATCCCATTAATCATAGTCCAATGCTCCAATCTATCTAGATTCCTCTGCAAGGCCTCTTGTCCCTCAAGAGAGTCAGCAGCACCTCCCAGTTTGGTATCATGAGCAAATTTGCTAATGGTGCATTCAACTCCTGCATCCAGATCGTTGATAAATGTATTGAACAGGACTGGCCCTAGAATTGAACTCTGAGGAACACCGCTGGTGACCAGTTGCCAGCCAGGTGTAGCCCTGTAACAACTAACAATAATGCATGAACATCTTCAAAATGCATCAACAATAAACGTGCTCTTGGAAGGAGTTTCTCTTTAGCGTTGATGGTAATAATACTGTAACTGCTGCTTGAACACTGTAAATCCTATGCAGACATCCTACCTGCCATCTTGTCTGCTGATTGTGTATCCAAAAAGAGGATTGTTGACAAAGCTGATGTTCACTCCAACTAGAGGGGTCCCATCTGCCGTCACCACCTGGCCTCGAATCACACATGCATGTCTGCAAGAAGGAGAAAAATGATAAGAAATAGTAAGTCTTTTGACAAATTCAGGTTTTTCATCTACTTCTGTGGCTGGGAATTCCTATGGATTAGAAAGTCCAGGCCCTTATGTCCTGGAAAGCTGGGGCCATGCCGTGTGTCTTGATGGTGGGATGCTACTCTTGACAACTTTTGAGTTGTTTAAGAACATTCGATACCTAAAATGAGGTTTACCTTTAACTTACTCTTGAAAAGCAACAGTTGCAGCATTATACTTCATTAACTATGGACTTCTATAGGGTTCACATCACACTGGAATTTGCTATAAGCAACTAAGTTTCACAGTGTCTTGACAATATTGCCCTAATTAAAGGCAAAGTACATGTTAAAATCAAAGAGAACAGAAACCTAGCAAGCACTACATGGACATATTTAAGGCACAAAAGCCACAGAATCACCCTGACCAAGGCTTGACAGCTCATTTCTCCCACACTTGGGAAAACCACGACAGATAATTTGCTAGGTTCAGATAGCTTCCCTACAAACTGCTTGGGGAACTGAGCACACTAACAGGATGGGTTTTTTCCTCCCATCTTTTTCTTTCAAAGTTTGGTAGATTGCACTATTTTATAGGCTACATCTATTCCAATTACTCTATGTTCTGTAATGTGCTCTTTTATCTAAGGATTTCAAGGATCTTTACAAACATTGATTAATACTGCAAGATAGGTATTTTACAGAGAGGGGAAATAAAGCACAGAGTGATTTTCAGTTGTCCAAGGTCAGTCAGAAAATCTGCAGGAAAGCCAGAGTCAGATTTTCTAGGTTCTTATTCCAATGTCTGTTTCCAGACCTCTAAGTCATTACTACATTGCTACCTTAGGAGCTTCCCATAAAGACAAAGCATCACATGTCTGTGAGAGTGTCTGAACCCAATTTTTGGCTGAAGGTAACTATTTTTCTGAGCAGCAACAGCAAATTGTGGTGTCAGTGTGCTAACGTGACCCAGTGAGTGATTTTCCTAACTGCTGTCCTGCTGGAGAGCAGAGATTGAAAACCAATGTTCCTACAGGTGCAGGACCAGATCTCAGCTAGAGTAAATCATCCCAGCTGCACTTGCTATCTACACATTTCAACTGAGAAATGTCTCTTTATTGGTTCACTGAGGTAAAGGATGGTATCTGCAAAGTTTTGTAAAGATGATTTCATAAACACGGATCATCAGGGAAAGATCAAGTTATTTTCTTACAGTCTACCTAACAATCTGATATTGTATAACGCAAGGAGATAAAGTATAATTTCTAGTTAAAAAGGGCTGCACTATTTGTATATTCTGCAGCACAGAAAACAGACCATTTGTCAGGGAGTCTTAAACAAAACTCCTACTGATTTAAATAGAGAGTTCCAATATTAAGAAAAATTCTTGAAGCATTTCCAGAAATGTGTCAGCAATCTAAAATGTGACCGAATTCATATACAATTTTGGAACAGGTCACAGGAAAATGAGATAATGGAAATGATTTTTCTGTCACTGAGTTTTCTCTGATATATCATCACTGGCTTGTTAGGGGTCATGTAAGAAAAGACTTGGACCCAGCTTGGAGCTAATAATATTCTTAATACTTCTGTTGCTTCTCCCAATGAAGGCTCTAACTCTGCTTCCCATATACAAAAAACTTAAAATAATATTCCAGTACAGTATTATGCACATCACTCTCTAACACACAGGCAAAGCATAACTCAAAGGATCATGATACCATGGAATATGCTCAGAAAAATGTCAATGCTTGGAATAATCCCACTGAAGTCAACAGGTCACCAACTGGAAATGCCATTTTTGCACAAAGTGAATGTATCTCATCCCATGTCTGAGCTAAGAGCAGAAGCTAGGCCTTCTCTTCCCAGATTTTTCCATGATCCTCTCCACCCTGCCCCATCACTTTTTCCATCCTTTAGAGAGATCTGAGAAAGGGTTTGAAACTGTTGTCTTAGCTTCTCATCAAATAGCTGCACATTTTGTGAAAGGCAAGGAATCGCTACAGACTGTTGCTTGAAGACTAAGACCTGAGCATGAGGGACTTGGTATTCTGAATTACTGACAGTATATTCAAGTCAACACTAGGACTATGAATGTTTTAAAATACTTGAGAGACAAGATCATATATTTTTGTGAATCCAAAAAGAACACTTCCACCTGTTGTTTTTTCCTTCCAAGCATTAAAAGCAAGCAAAGGAAAAAATACAACATGCTGCAGATGTCTCTCCTGCTGTCCTACATGAAACACATGTCCAAGCAGTTGCAAACTTCTAAGTAATATTGCAAGAACATTGGCCTAGATCCTCAGCTCATGTTAACGGCGGGATGTGCTTTGTATCAGCAAGCATCTGGTCCATTACATATCACTGACAACTATTTCTACAATAACAGGCACCAGCACAACACGGACAAACAAAAGAGCTTCCTCTCGCCTTGGCAGATGTAACAAATGCATTCGAACTCCCACCTTCCCGGAAAAGACTCAGTTCCCAGTCTAGATGGTGCTTTAGAGCACTGCGTTCCAACTCCATTAGCACATCTACGTGCTGACTAACTCGGACGATGCTGGCATCTCTTCTCAGGGAAGCAGCTCATCAGCAAGCCCAGCTGTATCCACCACCCTCCCGAGGACTATAACAATAGCTTTATCTACATGCTATAAGGAAAGATGTTCCCACAAAGGGAAAACCACAGTGATAAAAAGAAGTTGGAGTAACATGCACAAATCTGAGTTCAGTTAAAAGCGGGAGGGATGAAAACTGGAGCAAAACCAAAGCCCAGACTCTGCCTGATTAGAGTCTCAAATCTTCTTATTCCCTGGGCGACAAAATTTGCCCCATTTGGGAAAAACAGTTAATACAGTGTGTTGGAAGCAGCTGGCTTCTCTAGTGTCAATGTGTCCTTTCTGGAGGCAAGATCGACTACCCACAACGCGCCAAGCCCCCCAGGAACCTGGGTAATGCTAATTTAGTCAGCCATTTCCTTCAGAAGACCTTGGTCTAAATGCAATTACTCTACAAACAAGTTAAGTGGTACTGCTAAGATGCTCAGCTCCACTAGAAGGTCTCCCAACATATTTACATAAAATTATATCTCATGTTAATAGAAGAGATTTATTCCATCAGTCTAGGCCTGCCAGTGCAGACTGTTTTCTGCAGCTGAGCAAAATTGAATTTCTTGTAGCTGGAGCCTCATCTTCCCAATGAATCATTAACAGATTCCACCTATTGCCTCTGTTTTCTGGCTTTTGTTTTGCTTTGTTTTGTTTCCTTCACTACTTTTACATGGAGCTGTGTGGATTCTTGTTTTATAATGAAAAGCAGTCTGCTTTTTTCCTCTTCTTTAATTAGACTTTTCCTTTCCTTTTTTTTTCTTTTTTCAATTTGTCCATAAAAATTTCCCTGAAAGACCAAATCATTGTCAAAATGTTATCTAGAATGCCAGATGGTGTATCAGAGAATTTTACACCATTGCTTTGTGAAGTCATTCTTTATTCCCTAGAAAATTAAATTAAGTCCTCCTGAGAAGATCTGGGCCACAGTGGCAAAACAGACAGGGGTGCACTGATGCCTTTGCATTCCCATTGCTTATATATAAAGAAAGTTTGACAGGCTGTCAACAAAATTCAAGCAGACAAAACCAGCTTTAGAACAGAAGCCAGAAAAGTAAATTCCCAAAAAAGCCATTTCACATTATGGGAGCACATTAAAGATTTGTCTTTAATACTGACTATGATCCAATGTCTCATAACTTAGATATTGGCCTTTCCAATACTTCTTGTTCATAGATGTTTTCTGCTGACACTGCACTTGGCACTGGGAAATAGACAAAAATACTGCTTCTGCTAATCATTTTTCATTGGGAAAAGAAAATTCCATGCATCTTAACCTCCTTTTGCTGCAAGAAATGTATATTCTTTCCTTGACTGAGTATAGGCACCGTGGAAAATCTCACTACAATGAATTTCTGCAGCTCCTCAAAATATTTCCACTGTAACTCATTGTGCCTTCTCCTTTAAAGGTTTCAGATGTGTGGAGATGGTTATCTCGACTGTTTAGCCATCCTCAGCCAAGTTATTCATAATAAATATTTCAATTTGCCACTATAAATCTCTTCATCTCTTTGAACTTACTTACCACTTCCATGTTTCATTGATGTATATATATCTGGGATTTATCCTTCTGCTCTGAACGAAACTTCAACAGAGCACCACAGAGTGACGCTCTAGAAAGTTATTACTCATTGAGAAGAGCGTTATTAATGAAATTAGGTGATCTCAGTTCTATTTCTTCCTCTGCTACAGATTTTCTGTGTGACACTGGTCATGTCAGCTAGTCTATATGTGTCTTTGCATTCCACCTGCCAAATAACAATCGAGGCACATACCCTCCTTACAGAGACATTGGAATGATAATTGTAGTAATCTGCTAATCCCTTGCATAGGGATTTTTACATTCTCATGGCACTTCATCTGTGATATGCTCAGGCACTTTGCTGATAAGTGCCTATAAATACAGTCATTTGTTACAAACACAATCTCATGGCTTTAGTTGCTGTGACCTTTTTGCTTGATAATAACACAGAATGAAGCAAAATGTACCTTGCCCGTTTTGGGTTGAATGCACCTGTCTCATGTTAAACAACCTCAGGGCAGTCTAGCACTAGGATAGATAGAAAAATTGGTAGAATGCCAGGTAAAAGCTAAGGGCATCATGATCAAACACATGGACACAGAGGAAATGTCTGAGCTGGCAGATGAAGGACAAAAGAAGAAGAGGAAACAGCAGAACATACAGACCTTCAAGTTCATTGCTTGTGGCAGTATTTCACTCAAAAGCTGTCTGTAAAAAAAGCCCTGCCCACTTGCCTCTTAACTGTGCAGAAAAGTCTTTCCTTGAACTGACTCAATCCCTGTCTGGCTTCTTCAGTTTAGTTTAGCTGTAGTGAAAGCTTAAACTTGAAACCTACCTACTGATTTTAGCT